CAGTAATCTTTTATTTAGATGAAAGAAATTATGAAAGTTACTTCTTACTGTTCGATAGTAAACAGTTGCACGTGCTTACATGTGATCTATGACAGTTGAATACAGATTACTCACGAAATCACAGCGTCGTACACTTCCATTTTACATAAATTGACCGCCTTAACTCATTAACCCATGCAAACATATTTGAACTCTTCCAATTCAAAGGGTTGGAAAAGGCTACGTTGTATTATGAAATTGCAGTGTCGAATAAGTGAAGGTTGGTGTAAGACACTAGATTCTCTTTAGTAGCGCATCATTATGCATGCTTCCCTGTGTTAGCTCCACCAGGATTTCTCCCCCTGTAATTCATTGATGACAGCTTATGTTTGTTAGTGACCTGTTTGTTAAAATAAAATGTCGGTTAATCAGGATATCAAAACAGTTGATCTGCGTCTCTCTATTTTCCTACAGCTGTTTTACATGCAATGGCTTCAGGGCAACACTTGCTGATCAATCAGTCAATCTTCGACATCAAAATGCATCTTAAGTCCGTTATGAAGATCGTTCATTACACATTAAAGCCCCTCTATATATGTTAGGGGAATAACTGTCTCGGTGTAGCCTGATATAGCCATTGACATTTACTGAAGAATTCTTTTATAACCGCTAATACAAACAAACTGATAGACACATTTACCAGTTACATCCATGTTCGCTCAGACGCTATATCATGATTGTGAGTTGTATTTGCATAAGTCACGTTTCTAACCCATAAAGTAAATATAGTCTAAGATTTCGGACTGCAGATAAACAATGAGGAATATTTTAAGGTAAGAGTTGAAATAACTTTTGATGTGCTGAAATAGGAACAGAATGCTGAATACATGACTTAGTTGTATTCTTCGTGAAGATATTTTTAAATATACCACTATATAATCTAAAAAAAATTGAGGCGTGATCACAGACTTTATCATAATAGCTCCACATGTGCATTGTTTGCGTGTTGTGTACATGTAATTAACCGATTTTTACCGACAACTTCAGTCTGACGACTAAAGGAGATATCGGTCATCAACATTATGCCTTTATTTGTATGACATCTGAACTCATCGATAGTTTGACCTACTTCTTGTCATCATTTCCTGCTTTTCGTGCGGATTCAGAATTAAGTCAGTGATGTTGGTATGAAAAACAATGGGAGATGTTTTCTTAATTCGATAAAGTTTCTTTGGCCGATTTGACACAACTTCCTCACACAAGTTATCATGGTAGAAAATGAGTAAAACGGGTAAGTGCTTCATGTCATGATACCCGATTAATGTATTAAAAAAAGATAAGAATAGAAAATGTAGGAATACCTTGCTGATTAATGTAATGGGTGTATTATAAACAACCATGTACGGTGCGTTTATATAACACCAAGAATCGTATTGACGTAAAGAAAAAACGTGTTTTAATTAGGAGTCAGATTTTTTTTAGATTCCTCAATGTTCAGCCAGATAGTCTTTTTAACAGTACACTTAAAACGTTTCAAACAGGAATGAAACAGATTAGTTTTTAATTCATTATACATAGTCTGTTTGTATTTTAGGTATCATGTATGTATTGTTTAATAATTTACCATTTGGTCTGTGTTATTGTAACACATGTATGTAATTTATTGTGAACCGGTATTTGTTATCAACCTGTAAGTGGTCCTTATGGTCTGTTGGATTGAAATAAATAAATAAAATAAACAAAGTATTCAATACCGTTAACGTTTATTTAAATATGACAGAAGATTTTTGTGTAAACAAAATACGTCTCGGTGTAAAAAGTATTTGAAGAAATCGTGGTTAGTTTCAAATTTCCCATGCTAATGTTTCTAGGCTTATAAGTATTTGGTTCTAAAACTTCAAGTTATCGGCCGTCAATAATTCCTCGGACGTTGTACTAAGTATCTAGGCATGCATTTAAAATGTCAGTAATAAGTACATGTCGGGTTCGATTTCAACAGAAAAATGTAAGTAAAGGGAGATGACTCTAGAATCATACTAATTGTTGTTATCAGTCATCGAAATTAGGTCTCACAGGTTTCTTGCCATAATTCATCCATGAGAGCTTGATGACACTACATATTTGATCTATTCCTGAATATCACACATATGAGCTCTGTTTCTATGGCTACATGGCTTCGTTAACATCGTATAACGTCCAGGCGTACTACGAAGGTTCATAAACCTCAATTATAACGTTAGTTTACTATCATGATGAAATAACGAAAATTTCCTAATAAAATACATGACCATTTCTTCATCGTAGCACTGCAAATAACGTTTGCCTGGTGCATTTGTGTTTAAATGCGATATTTGAAATAGTTTTTTTGTACATTATTAGTAAGTTATCATTACTAGAATGGAGGACAGTGCGTGATTTTGAAGATGTTGAAAGCTATCTTTTTTTCTTTTATGACTAAATAGCACTTTTGTGATAGATATTTTGATTGCGCTAATGTGCGTGCGTTGCATATATATATATATGTAAATGCTAATATTTTGTCTGACGAACGTGATAGCATTTATTTCACACTTATATTAACTTTAAATTCTTGTTTTTATTTGTGTTTACAATATCAAATATTTACAGTATGTTATTTTGATGTAACGATATTTGTTTTTATTTGACTTAAAGTATGGGTTTAAAGTATCTGTTTCTATTTGACTTAAAATATTGGATTTGAAATATCTGTTTCTATTTGACTTAACCTATGTTGTTTTGATGTGGTAGTATCGTTACTATTGATTGTACAAATTGCCACATCATTCTTGGTTCTACAATAACTGATATCATTTTTATTAGACTTAACAGTATAGGTATGGTATGCTATTTGTATTTGACTTTCCAATAAAGTTTACGTTAAAGATATCTCTATTTGATTTTATAGAATGCTATATTGCTTCTATTTGACTTTATTCTTATCTTGATTTGATGCCATCTTCTGTCACACATAGGTTTGTATTTACTGATTGTAATCAAACTTAGTTTTTCCAGTTGTGTGCATTATTTGTTGTTTTTATTTATTAAGAGGGAAACAAAATGTGATAGTTAACAAACTTTTCACTTTCAATCATTTCGCTATACCTGCATTTTCCTCATTTCCAAGTCCTTGTTTGAGCTCGATGATATATATATATAGAAGAATAAGGCAAGAGAAAGGGTTAAGAGGGAGAGACCTATGTTTCGATAATAATGATAATATACAACATTTTTGATAAAGCGCCCTATTTAGCTACAATACGCCACCCTGAAGCGCTTCACAGTACATAAATATACAATCAATACAATCAATACAATAAACATATACATTAATCAATACAATTTTTTGAGGAATTCACAGGAGCTGCCTTATCAGGCGCTAACTACTACATGTGTAGTCATATGCCACCTGGCTAACATCTCCTACATATGTGTGTATGCTTGAGATGTATTGCTATCCTATTCTTTTGATCCATTCGGTAACTAAAGGGTTGGTCTATATTCCTTTTGTCTATTTATATTTACTTACCTTCCTCTATCCGAATTCCTATCATTTACCTGACGTAAAACTATTTAGTCTTTTGTGACCATGTGGTGATCAGTTTATCATTATGCTCTGGTTCGGCGTAGATGAAAGGGCGGATGATTGATTGAGTAATGGGGTTAACATCCTTATTCTGGTTATTGCCGAGGATAGGACAAAGTAAGGGAGCTAACACTAACAGCCTTATTAACAATCTCCCCCGCTTCCTCGATACGTTCTCATGTTCAAGCATGGATTTTGTGCTCAAGCCTAATTACTTAATTCGTTTTTAATTGATAATAAATCGTTTTTCAATGATTTGGAACAAATCTGAAGACACTTAGGGCAAAATGCCGTTTTCAATGTTTACAATTGACTTTTCGATCGTTTGACATGATTTAAGTGAGTTACAAGAAATTTGGTTTGAGAACAGAATCCATGCTTGAGCATGAGAACGGTTTCAGGAATACGGGCCCTGGGATATTCAAGGAGCGCAGAAACAGCAATGATGCATCTCCCAGAGTACAGTCACCTCAGGTATCTGAGTTTTTAAGAAAGTAGAGTTTCAATTCCTTACATGTGCATGTAACTGTCCTATCCCTCATGCATTGTACCTGTAGTCACCCATGACAGAAACAGTGTGATTATGGATATCTAATTTCAACAGTATCTTTAAATAAGTATTACATGATATGTTGAGGAATGAGGTTTTCCTACTTTGGTCTTATTATTTTATCATTTCAATTTTTCTTTACAATGTTAGATTTTGATGGTGTAGTTATCATGACATTCCTGATACATGTATAGTAATGAATATGATTTTTGTCAAATTCCTTGCTATTGATACTTTGTTTATATTCGAAGAGCGAAAATAAACACAACACATTTAGGGAAGATATACAATTCTCTGCCTCTGTCAGTATTTACCTCTAATTCTCTCTCCCACCTCCTAATGATTACTTGTCGTGTAGCTTCCATTCTATAAGATAGAAGGGAGGTAAACCGACATTCTTAAATTACTATCAAAACAGGTCAATAAGTTAGGACTTAAGAATTATTAAATAGAGCATGTTTGTGTTGATTCTATCAGGTAATGCAGAGATGTTATCATTTTGTATCGAAGTTTCACATAAACATGTATTGCATGATCATGCATTGCATCTAACTAAAAGCGAAAGTTTTCAAAAATTTAAAAATTACATTCTGGATTAAATGTGTCCTTTCCCATAATCAGATGTAGTCTCATGCTCTACAAGTTAGATCAATTATATTTAGATATATGCATTTCAAAACTTTGGCTGAAAGCCAAATATTTTCATTTCTTGTTAAAACAATCCGGCTGAGCTATTTGTTAGACATTTTTAACTATCATATATATGCAGACAACGTCTCAGAAACTGAAAAGAAACACGTATATTATAATGCATGAACATGCAGATAGACAAATCATGAATAATAAACAAAACGCAACTGAAATATTAATATGTTTATTTTATGATGTTTTCCATGATACAATAAGTTAATATACATATAAATTAAGCACCTCTCTCACATATAAAACCTCACGTGCTAAATAAATGCAGTTAAAACTGTCTTGCGCTCCAAACAAATTTGACCTAAAGGTCACGTGCAATTAAAATCCTAGAATGTATCTTAAATATATCACAGACGTTAAAGATTTGAGCTTCCTATACAAGTGTATTTAGACCATAATACTGTGGGGTTGATATCACATATTTTCCTAAATATGTAGGGTTACAAGCGAGTTGATATCGCATGTTTTGTGAACATGTAGAGTTAAAATCGAGACGATGTAATAGTTTTTAGAAGATACAAACGGCCCAATAGGCCTATCACATAGAGCGTATTTCTCTGTACGTGGAATAAAAAGCGAATTGACATGATGACACCAACCACGAGGAGTTATAAGCCATTCGATAGTACATACATATAAATTTATATTTACATAACAGATACGACGCAATCGATTACACATTTTTACGTAGACATGTAAGTAGAATTACATGCGAGCAATACACAATAATCATATTGTATCATAAAGCTGAATGAACGTTTACAGACGTAACTTAACATCTTCTCTTTGTTACAACAACTCGCCCATTACATACTCTCTAAACGCAAAACTGAGGACGAAATCAGAATGTCACGATAGAATTGACGTCATAATTAGCATTTTTGGTTACATTGTAGGATTCGAGAGTACAGGAGACGTATCTGTGTGAAGGTCTGTTGTCGGCATAGGGTAAGTAGCACATTTAACTATCAAGCGTGATAAGCTCTATTCTATTTAATTTTATATATTTAAACAACTCAGTGATTAAAATAAAAAGTGTGTAATTTCTTATATAAAGTGAAATCAACTTCTGCAGTAGTGATAATGTAATCAAACATTGTATATTACGGGTGGGAAAATCAGGTGACAATTAATTTGGCTAATTACACGTATATACTGCTACTAATATCTCAAAACGAGAAACATTGAAAAGTTAATTATATGAATACTTCCCTCTGGAAGAGATGTGATTTCTGCTGAAACCTCAATACAGTGAAATGTTTGCGATATCATTATATTTTGTGTGATATTTCACGGAATCCGAAAATTCAGTACTGCTCTGTTAGAGAACTATATTATCAACATCGCCAGAAATGCAAATTCAAAACGAGCAGATTGGACATTTGCACAGGTTCAAAGTGGTGCGTTAAATCAAAGATGTGCACGGTATCTAAATACTAATTAAGAACGAGGTACCGCAAGTTTAAGAATAAAACACATTCATGTATGCTTGTCGTCTACTTCGCATTTGGTTTTCAAGTAAATATAAAAGCTCTCTTGAATAAAGTATCACAAATACAGATTAAGGTTCAAGGGGGGGTCTACGGTTTGTACCACTAGCTAGTTAGCACTGTGTAGTATTGCAAACAAACCTCGACTAACTGTGTTATACACGGGAGCTGTCTCCCTTGATGTTCTCAACGCCAAGCAACCTCGGTCAAATATCAAAGCACGTAAATCCCCTCTATATATCCAGTGGACCAAGGAAAGTCACCATTTGTTATAAGTCAAGGCACGTCCTTTGGCCCGATTTATGAAACATTTCGTATGCCAAGCGGGGAACCAGCCCATCGAACGGTTCGCAGCAAGTCTCAATCACGTGTAATATATAGTGACCGTACAATACTTATTAAATACCTCTCCATAATATTCATACTCTTGTTTGGAAATCAAAAACAAATTAGCAGTTTAATTCTGCCGATTGGTAATGCCCTCTGTAAAATTCTTGTATGGTTTTATCACTGGAAACCTCACTAATCAATATTTTCTTGTTTCTTGACAAACTTCATGAATTCCAGAAAAAAAAGTGAAGCAAATAAGATTTCCAATCGAAATGTTAATTTCGCCTTATCAAATTCAATCTGTTATGTTATACCTTATATAAGTACATGTAAATAACAGTGTACCAAATGGTATTATATCAGTCACATGATAAGGAAATAAAACATCGTGTTTCCCTCACGCACGCGAGTTTCCTTGTCATAGTTTCCTTGCCAGGGACATCTCTAGAAAAAATGCGCAGGATGTATTATCACATATGAGTTCCGAATGACTCAAACAGAAGACCAAAATGAGAGTCTGTTCATCTGAAGCTGTAGATGTATTATTCTGTTAATAGATGATAAGATATTTTACTATCCCTGTGGTAGGAACCATATAACTGTTTCCGCGAGATTAGTCTTTTTCACTCATATTTCCCTACAACAAGGACAACAGATGTATATTATGAGAAGGCACCTTCAAACTCGATGATATTCACAGCGCTCATATATGCACTAGCAATCAGCTCCCATATTTTTAGAGACTTGAGGACCGTGCATTATTATTGCCGTCTGCAATATCTTTCAATTCAATTTGACCTTTCACCTCTTCCGGAATAACCTTCCCCTCATCGTCGCCTCTCGTTGAATCAATGTCCGGTGTCTCTCCTAAATCCACAGGTGTATCTGCGGGTAGCCTTGGGGTCTTATGTATGGTAGACACTGATGTTGCCGCGTCCCTTTTCCCTGTCATTTCCGCTACGTTGTCGTTTTCCGCGCCTACGTCATCATCACCTGTATCAGTAACGTCGATTCCCTCGACCTTCGGCTGTTCGGAATCATCTCCATTTTTTTTCCTCGAGAGGATTGTTCAATGGTATCTGTTCAGATTGGTCTCCTATTGTTTCTAAATACCCCGCTTCGATAATTTGCATATTGTCATTTTCGGATTTCTCTTTCGAATGTTGTCGGGAAGTTTCAACTGTTAGTTCTGTAGCAACTGCTTGTTCGAGCTGTTTTTCTTGGGTATTTTCCTGGGTATTTTCGAAACTTTCAGGTTCTTTCAATGTACCGTTAATGTTTTCTGTAGGTGAGTCACCATTAACATATCCTTCATCCACAGCTTCTGGGTTTTGTATTTGATCAATTTTCGCCTCTGATTCAACTTCTCGGGGAGTTATTAGTTGCTCCTGTGTGTTTGGAACAATGTTTCTTCTGAGTTCTGGCGTGACGGTCATCGTTCCATCGCTTACTGCATCCAATCTGTCCTGATGATAAGCAGAACCCGCCGCTCGGTCAACAAATTCTGGCGGAGTGTCGTCCCTGATGGATGACGTCTTAACATGGTCTCTTTTTGATGGTTTATTCCTCGAGCTGAGGCTAAGCTCTACACCTGACTTCCGGTTGACTACCACCTCTCCTGTTCGGAACTCTAACGACAATGTAGGAATTTCCTGAACAACGTTGTCGCTACCAGGTATTAAATCCTCTGAGGTTTCTGATTTTTGATGCACTGACCTTTTGGTCATCGTCTTCAGATCTAATTTGTAAACCGGCACTTTTACCGGCTTTTTAGATCCACCATTTTCCTCGATTGTCAGCATCGAACCCAAAAACTGTCCATGATCTGGGTATTCATGGATTTGCTTTGACTTTGGATCGTTTCCAAACACTTCCAGTGTGTTAAATTTTGATAGCACAGACTTTGACCTGTTGTAACCCTTTCCTGGGTTTGCATTATACGTGGAAACATCACTGCTACCGATTGCGGCAGTATGACCTGGTCGTTTTTGATTTGCCATATTCATACCAACATAATCATTCGAAGTTTTGTTTTGGTTTGACCTTGAGCCACGTGATCGAGACATTTCTAAATTCACAATGGCGGTCTTTGACGGATCGCCTCGTTCTGGTGTCCGTTGTACTCCCGAGTCATTCGAACCGACTGATCCACTGTTACTGTGTCCATTCATCGAGCCGTACACCCCATTAGGGTCGAGATTTGCAAAGTTGAATTTGGAATTCGGTTTAATGTTGTAAGCGTCAATGGCAAACTCGCCTATGTCAATCTTTCCTACACCGTCGCCTGTCTGTTTTCTAGCCCTCGCGAGGTCCTCGAGTGTCGGGCGGTGTTGTTGTTCTGTGGGAGGATACCGTTCAGTGTGAAAGGTGTATTGTCGAAGATCTTCGTCAACTTCAAATGCAGTTTTAGTTAAAGTCCTTTCTCGATTCTCAACACTGTTCATTTTCAGCTGCAACAGCGACTTCTGTCTAAGTTTGTACTGGTCTCTATTGATATTTGTATCCTTGATTCCATTAGTGTTTGTTTCCTTCCGCAACTCCAAGTATTTGTTAGGAATATTTTGCATAGGCTTTAGAACTGGTACTTTCCACTGAGACTTTGAAGATACATTCCTTTGCTTTCCTCTCATGGAAAAAGACTTGGAACTATCCGAATTTTCAACATTGCGCGATTGATCCGCTTTTTCATATTCCTCACTTGGAATTTCCGAAAACCATTTTTCCAGTTTGTGAACGAATGGTTTTCCAAGAACTCGAGTTTTATCTCTGGAAAAATGATTTATCCTAATTTCCCCGTTACTTCCGTTTTGTAACGGCCAAGAAAGATCAGATCTAACATTTGGAAAATTTACACCAGATGAGTCAGATCCGGGAAAACTACTCGGAGCAACTGTCTTTGTTCGTTCTCTACGAATTGCCGGGAAGTGAAGTGACTTCCGGTTTTCCTTGTCAGACTCAGCCACGTGTCTAAGGTCCTCCATGCTATAATTCTGCTGCCGATGCAGGGCTGCTGCGTACTTGCTGTGGTCCTTCCGGTCAAAGCCGGACAAGTCATGGTTGCTATGTGAATGTTGCTTCCGTAACATTTTACCACCTGAATAGTGATGGAGATTGTTCATGCTATTGGTTCTGGATAGAAACGGAAACGAAGGACCAGGAGCCATCAGATTAGACATTGGTTTCACGTGTGAATCGTCTTTACTGTGACTATCCACTTCCCAGCGCCGATTTGATATCATATTATTCATTTGTCGGTTTGTATCGACTTCAGCATACAGACTGGGATTGCTTTTCACCAGAAGCTCTTTCGGTGTGACCCGATGCCGATTTCGGCTTTTGTCCTCCATAATAGCATTTTCAACGCTGGATACCATGCGATCATAGTCAAGCTGTAAGTAGGAGTCCAAATTATTGAGCTCTGGTGACGTCACATCCGTTCCAGGATCAAACGGAAACGGAAGGGAGTTGTGAAAAGCAGGTTCCGGTTTTTCTTTAAATGTGACTGCTTTCAGTGATCTGGAAAACATAAACAGAAGAATATTTATTAGTTTTTATCCTAGGTTTCACTTAATTTAACCTTCTATAATAGAAATTGGTCAACTGAGGAAAATGGTTGAAAATTCAAAGTGAGCCTCTACAAGGGGAAAGTATTGAAAAAAAATAGGGAAGAAATTACAAAAATCTCTTAAACATGTGTATCTAAATATTCAAACAGAAAAGTTTTGTTATGCGTTGCCGTTAATTAAAAGCATCTCAATTACTGGTACAGTAACTGTAACGAGCATGTTTTAGCGTTTCATAAATTTAAGCGCTTTTTGCGCTCTAAATATTGTGCTTAATTATGACTGCGTTCAGATGACAGTGCAACTTGTGACTAGACCCCCGACCATGTAAATATAACAATAATAAAAATATTAAAAACGACACTGTTATTTATTCCCGTGATTGATTCACAAAGAATTCCACACAAAGACATAAGCACGTGACTAGCCCGTTGTACGTGCAGTTGTCAGTTTCTCGAATACGCACGAGATTAGCATTTCGGCACGTGTAAAGTTCGTCACCATAGACCGGATCATTATTGGCAGCAGATAGTGTTGGATGCAGTCAATCACAAATATCTCTGTATTCTTTGTAATGTTTACATATCAATTAATTTTACAGCACAGACGGGTTGTTTAGGTCTGTCCTAAAGCTGTTGTCATCATTCACATTGTGTAATGTAACGCGCTTAATCCTTGTCTGTCAGGTTGTGTAAGACATCAAACCACCAAGCTACTCGACGTCTACGGTAGATAAGGGACTCACGACTACTGGATTAGCATGATACATTATACTACTACAGAACAGTTATTTTTATATGTGGTAAATTGTATCGTAGCCATGTGCGCAACAATTTAGTGTGTTTCTGTGTGTTTGGGTTTTCTTTGTTTAAGGAGTGTACATACATCATATGTGATTCATTTCAATCTTTACAAGATATATTTTACCAAATTTTGATATTTCACCCCCTTCCACGTTTTCTACTTTCTCAGCCTATCCTGCTGCTCATTTAATCATATATACGAGTGTTTTTTTTTATAATTTCAGTTTTCATTCCTCAAATGGTTGCCCCATATCAAAAGATTGTTCTCGTCACGGCTGCCCCACCAACACATATTTCTTCATGCAATTGTTGCCTACCTACAGCCTTGCACAACAACTGATGCCTTCAAACTGATCCAATAAATGTATAGTTTGTGTCTCTGAAGTTAAAGTATTGGCAAAATGAGTTCCGTATACATATTAATTTCTATTTCCTATTTTAGATACGTCCCCATATAATAATTTGAATATAGATATCGAGCGTTCTCCTTTGATACAGGACCGATCGTTCTAGCGACAACAGAGGGTCATGATACATGTTATACATGTACATATGTACACAATATCCAGCATCATTATGATTTATATGTTTGTTTGAGTTTAACGACCTATCGACAACTATGGTCCGGCTTTCCTCCACCGCCAAAACCTGGCACGTCCTTAAATGACCATAGCTGTTAACACTTGTAGGACGTAAAACACAAAGAAACATTTATTTATTTGTTGTTCTATATACATGTACTTTTCCCGTAACAAGAAACCCAGTGTTCCTGTACGAGTTGGTGTGGTTGTTTGAGATTGTTTGAGGTGCCCTGCTTTTTATGGAACACACTTTTCAACAGATCAAAACAGCGCCAACAACTTAATTACGAACCAAGACCATATTACACTACAATATTTAGGCAGGCGTACATCTAGCTGAAAAACAGAGATAAATTCCCCTGTCTAAAAGCAGCGTTGTTAGCGAGACTCGAACCTTCGAATATTGGTCAATGGGCACTCACCACCAGTGCTATGCAGTCACTCTCTGAAAACATTAACATCAAATTTTATATTTTAGGTACAAATAATAGTGGAACGGATAGTTGTTACCAGTTTCGAGAGGATCATAACATTTACGAGTCCCCCAGAGAATTCTGGGAAAGAACAGCTCTGCTTTATCCCACTATGCGATCGGTATGAGACGACTTATATTGGGGCCCCTGTAGCATCGGAGATTGTTTATTCATGTCTATTGCTTGGGTTGATATAAAAGAAACCAAAATTGATCGGCTGATTCATTGCATCACCTGGGATCTATATATTTGCTTTTTTCACTTCCCTTCTCTTTCTAGTCAGCGGTGTCTCCGTGCGTCCCCATGAAACTTGACACTGTAGCTTTTTCCGGAGACGTAAAACTCCTAACAGACAAATTAAAATGGCGAGTACATTTAAAAAGGATCAATTCATTATGACATCAAACGTGAACGTGTTTATTGGATGACGTAAACATGTTATCATTTACATGGCTCTACTCTCTTCAAATGTAGGAAATTGCCCCTAAAACAGTTTCCAAACAACACTATTGTATCTTGTAACGAGATATATTAAAACCAGTTTATGAGATTCAATATGTTATTATGTCTAAAGCATTTAAACCCAAACTGCCTACGTGACTCATTATTAAACACTACAATAATTGAGTGCTGTGTTTGCAGCTAAACTACATAGTATTTAAGTAGGCGTTTAGTTCTTATCTGTATTCGTGTAATCTGTTTTCATCATAAATACCCAAAAAACATGCTTTTCAAATCTATCATAAGCTTGTTTACATAATAGGTTATTTTCGTAATTATTGACAAATCTATATTCAAAAACACTCCGAGGCGCTAACAAAAGCAATTTATTAATAATTAAATAACAACAAACATTTTCAAATCAATATTTAAATCTATTTAGAACCGGAAACAGGTTCGAGGCGACAACAAGTCAGGGGCTGTTTGCTGATGTTAAATTGGCCTTACCTTGACTTTTTTATGCACTGTCATCAACTATCGTCTACCACAATTATTTTACAGGATTTAAGATAAAATATCAATTAACTTCAATTTTATGCTTATATATGTAAATATATGTTTTAGTGTTCACCTTAAGCCATGGTAACATAGTAATACAACTCAAACAGAACGACAGCCGAAATCGAAGTAACTGTTTGCTGAATTTAACCTCTTTATATGTGGAACTCGCTGTTTACATACAGACAAACTTCGTTATACATACGTATGTCGAAGTTTTGGTTTACATTAAGTCGAACCCGCTCCATGTCAAAGTCGCTGTTTACACACACTCGAACATTGTTATTTATCGAAGTCATTGTTTACATACAGGCCGACCTCTTGATATGTCGAAGTCATTGTTTACATACAGACCGACCTCTTGATATGTCGAAGTCACTGTTAACATACAGACGAACATTGTTGGGTCAAAGTCGTTGTTTACATCAAGACAACTCTTACACACCCTCGAACATTGTTATGTCGAATTGCAATTGTGACAGCGGTTTGTAGTAAATGCTGCCAATGCTCTCTAATACGAGTACAAAAGGATTCGAGTATATCACAAAAAATCTGTCAAATCCTCTGCCGAATGTAACTATACGCCGAAAACTAACATCAATAGCACCACCACATCCACAACACAGAATTTAAATATCACAAAGCATGCCATTGACGTATCTTAAAGCAATACATGTTGGAAATACATCAGAACATCAATATACCCCATTTACATACTGAAGCAAACTAAATGAGCCATAGAGCCATAGCATCGCCCTGCATTACACGAACTAAGTGTAACTTTTTGATTGTGTTTACATTTAATCAAATTTTCTAAAAATAATTTTGATTGGCTGCTGCAGGTAACATATTACTGCCGATGCAAGTAGCCAAGAACGCTTCAATCGAATGTAACGATGCCATATAATAAGCAGGGATATGGCACGTAATCAGTTGATACTAAAAAAAAATGCTGGACACGAATAGCTTGTTTACAAAAGATGCTAAATATGGTAAAATTCATTGGAGCGTCCAACAGAAACTGGCTTTCCCATAAGATATTGTCTACGGACGAACGGACAGATGGACAGACAGACTGACTGACTGATTAATTCCAATATAAACTTTACACACTTCGTTGCGGGGGGGTATGATAAACATACAAATATGAACGTACATGTAACATGTGTTTGACACTAAAGATACGGCTCGACTGTGACGTGGAAATATGTCAGTTTAACTATTTAAGTACCACTGGGACAGGTCTCCAGATTAACACGTGTTATCCTTGTTGTACGCTGATTTGTAACTATTACTGAAACAAAAGCCGAGGTCAACTGAGGTCACCAGGTCAGAATAAGTTGGGTATTCATATACAGGTAGACCGTATCTCTCCTCGGCAGGTGCCAAGTCCGACACAAACAATCAATTGTAATTTCTAGTGGAGGTTTAAATCACATTAATTCCAGTAATGGTCTGTCGAGTACAATATACATATATATAATTGATTATTTGTTTAGAGTGTTATATACACCAACTTTGTATATATATATAAATATTTACGTATACCTGTAAAAATGTTTTGGAGTATATGGGGAAAACTACCTTTGTTTATATCAAATGCATCGTAAGATAATACATGTACAATAGATAGAAGGAAAATGACGGTTGTCACATGAAAATATAGACAAGAAGAAGTTTATAAATATTTATTTCACTTTTGGTTTATTATCTAGAGTTAATGTTTAATGATTGTAGTTTATTTATCAACAAAAATACTGTTTGAAGCACAATTTGAAGAAACTACTGACACCTAGAGTTATAATATGATGTAGGTACATAGTGTATATCGATCAATTTATATAAAATATCATATTTGAATAAAAACCGAACATACAAATGTACATGTACAATAACTATGTTACTGTATGAGAAAATAAATAACTGACTACAGTGATACATAACTTACTTAAATCACTTTCTAATCTATAATGAACTAATATCTAGATATTAATATGTATCATTTATATATCATTACTAACATATAAATAAATAACCTTTAACTAATTTATAAATAGCTTATCGATAAATTACTACTTTATCACTACCTAATTTATAAATTAATATTAATTTATGTAACTTATCTTTACTAACAAGATAATATACAATTTACTAGTCTATAATTACGTACCTAATCAATTAAATATTTACTTAACTAATGCAAAGCTAAATAATCTTCTTTATAACTACCTAACTAACTAGTCCTTAACTAGCTAAATAATCCGTAAAATTCACTAAATATCAATGTAAACTTTATTTATTTTTCAACAATTATGAAACAAGTTATATATACTAATATTAATCGTTCTTGTTGTGGGAAACCGGAGTATCCGAAGATAACCCACGTGTTCGGTCAGGTGACCCCATACCTGTTTACGTCCGATTGGGGAATCGAACCCCGGTCGCTTTGGTGAAAGGCAAGTGCGCTATCCACTGAGCCACCATGTCGAGGAGGACTTGGGACGGAGGGTTGATCTGGGGTGGGGTGGGGTGGGGGTGGATAAATGGAGACTAATTCAAAATAAAACGAGGTCATAACATATTGTAGTATCATTTGGAGATAACATTTCCCGTATCGTAAATACAGTCCCCGTGTAGTTGACTTTTATATAAGGTAACGTTTGGTTTAAATACTAAGTTATTTAACAAGCCGACATACAAATGTATATACATGTATATATATCATACATAAATATTGTAACAATGGGATGAAAAACAGGCAAACATTGTCTTCTCCTACTGAGTAAAGACTATGGGTCGTACCTATAGATGTACCGTACATAAATCATAAATACCCGATACACAATTAAAAGGTCATTGTTATGGATTACATCACATAAACTTATATACAGAGCCAAAAATACAGCAAGCTACCTAAAGTCTAACTGCGGTTTATATACAGGGAACAACTCTACAGTAAATACACAATATTTCAATTCAAACATTTAAAATACTTGATGAAATTCCAAAAAGATTATAATCATGGCAAATGAAAATCAATATCTTATGATATATGGGCCTGCGTCAGAAGATTAAACACCTACCTATCGATTGTTTAGTTAATCCATCCCAACAGCCTTAAACACCATTTACATATGTAAATAGCTAACGTAAATATTTAGATATTTACTAAGTTATATCTTCATTCACAGCGTTCAAATCCATGTAATGTTATACTCATTGCTGAGGAAGACGCCCATTATCTAAATCCCAAAATCACCGAGTGTCCACTTAAGTCCACTTTAGGACGGCCGAAATTGTCTAGTGACCACCCCGTCATTCTCCACCAAATGGCTTTCTCAGTGAGTTTTACATGTACCCGTTCATAGATCAGAAATATCGCTACAGGTGCACAGAATTACAGGTGTGCTTATACACTTGTATTGTAACCCGTGTTTCCGTTTCGGCCCACCTACGTAAGGAAAAACGGTAAAACGACAGGTGGGTTTAAAGGTAATGCACCCTCACATCCCAGCGAAGTAACGACTGGTCCCCAGCCAAATTACAACACCGCACCACCTTCGCTGGGTAATTGTGTACACTAAACTATGTGCCAATATATGATGAATAATTCATAACTATGCAGGTACAAACTAAAATCATTCGTGCTTTTTAAAACGAAATTTCACGTACTATAAAGACATACCTACGCACGGTGTGTTACGTGTAGCATCGAACATTTTAACATAAAATCTGGCAAATGAATTATGCCGCTGAGTTGAATTAATGCCAAAGCCAGCTCGTGATGATTACCTTCTTTATTACGGAATCCTTATTTCTAACTCAAAATTGCCTTTATTGGGAAAAAAAAGTTTTAAAGATTAATTAACAATTACACTTATCCTAACGGAGGTTTTGCCTAATTTATTTTTTATCTGACAAATTAAACTGGTTTGTAAACGATTTATTGCATTTATCTTAAAATTATTCATGATTTTAAGTTGAGTTAGGTGTTGGAGGTATCAAGTTTGTATCTAAATGAATGTAAGTGAATCACAGGAATTTGCATGATACAATGTGAATCAAATGTCACACGTGATGGAAGCTTGCTAGTCTCGTATAGCCATGTAGAAATAAATATGACTATGCACGTCCTTACACCGCTACACTGTCCGTGGTGGAGAGATGCTTCCTTTGTCTTCCAGTTTACTACTTGTTGATTATTGAATTTTCGTCGGAACGCCCAACTCTCACTCTAACCCCCCTCACCCTCCCAAAACTCCAATCCCCAAGCCACACCCGACCCCCTAAAAGGATAATGATGTCAAATAACGTAAATAAAGGCTACGGATGGTTTGTCCAGCCAGGAATGTTTTTTTTTTTTAGCAAAAATGTTATGAACTATTCACTTTCATTTCCTGATACTCAATGCAAAGCCATTCAGAAACTATTACAACTTTCTTTTCCTATTATCTATCTATCTATTATTGGAGGTGTTAGGACGTACTTGGACCCCAATGTCTTTGATTATGTGTAAACATGAGATCCATGTACATTTTTACTCACTGTATATTTTCACTATACTCATTATCCAGCTCTCCGCCAACAACGCTCTGTAATGCTCGATAAAAATGAATGAAAGTCATCTACCGCCTAAAACATATTGTAGTTAAATGTGCTGTAAAAACACGGTGATTGATCTCTGACATTTATTTTCAATAGGACACTGTCCTGGGGTGTTTTTCCCTCGCTCGTTACACAATGGTGTCTGAGAATCACTGTGTGGGCGCTGTCATGGAACAGGCGGCCACAGCGCCCCTACCGGCGTGTAATTAGACACTATTTGTGAAACACCAGATGTCCTCACTTCGGTGGCCAGACCATATATAGAGAACTATATTTGCGGTATTTTTTACAGTGCAATTATGAAGTTTACGGGTCAAAGCATAAACTAGAAAACAAACTATCCCTATGCCTTTGGGCCTCCGAGACAGACAAAACGGTTTCCATGACAGATACGCTGTAATGCCAACTCTAAGTTGGCGTCAAATGTTAATACCAATCCGTGATCGTCTTACGTAATGTCCGCATAACTTGTCCGCCTGCTTGAACAGGGAAACAGGAATACTTCAGTTATATGAATAAAGTTAAATCGTTTCCAATACATGCTGTCAAATATATTCAAAAAAATACTGCATGTGTATTTATTTTCATATTTGTCATTTCCCAGTGGCAGTGTCAGGTTGTTAAGAGGAGTGCTGGTGTTTGGCGGTTGTACGGATGCTTTAGCACCTCAATCCATCACTGTTAGGGAAATTATACCGTCAATTACCTCGGTAACAACAGCTCCTGGTACAAAATCTCCGTTTACTTTACAATGATAACGTATATGTCCCTTAAATTCATAAAAAAACAACTTCATTGCAAATTTCAATATTCAGACAGTGCTTGAAAATGATCAGTCGTTTTCAGCCACCATTGTCTTGTGGAAATAAGTGTCAAGTCTAGCTATATCAAAAACAGAACCAATGGATTTCTATGATGAAAAGAAAAAGGAACATTTTACACTCTTTATTGTTTATAACTGCATGTGTGTGAGAAACAGGCAAACTCAGTCTTAAATTTCATTCAATCTCAGAATAAGCACCGGATGCATTTAAGTTGTAGTAACAGAAGAGAAAGGAGAGCACGGTCAGACTGGGGTTCGAGCTCTAGACGGACACTCTATCAATTAAGCTACCTGGTCGCCTGGTCTCCTTTCCTAAGTGTTCGCCCCCGAAGATATATTTATTTACATCTATTACAACCTGGGTTCGGGTACCCCGTGCAAAGCGTACAACCAATTTTTGAAGCAAAGGTTGGTCACATGCACCACTTTTGTAACAGGAGAAGGGGGAAATGCACGGACAGACCGGGGCTCGAACCCGAGACCCTCCGAACTCTGGACGGACGCTCTACCAACTGGGCTTCCTGATCGCCGACGATTGGCACAAACAGTTCCGCTACATTTTTATGATATCGGGGTATGGCAAGTCATGTTATTGATCATATTTACATAACATTCTGTATAACTTTTCAGGTGAAAACTTTTCATTAATTGTGTTAGTGGCTTCACACTTATTTGTATATAACTGAACATTTATTGTGAACATGAGTTAACGTTATCTCTGTGCATATTAAATTTACCAGAATAAACCTTTTCGTCAAAACATGGAGTCTATATTATACCTGTTTTTGTCTATTAGGGAAAGATTGCAGTAGATTTGTTTGTCACTGAAAGATATTTGCACACCACTTTAGTTTATGAAGGTAATATCTGCATAATGTGTTACATCAAAATAGTTTACGAGCGAGTCACAGGACGCTAACCAAACACCATTACCAGTGCGACAAGAGGAGATGCTTTGATGTATTACAAAAAGGTCATGCGGGGCCACACTAAAAGACCTCAATATTAGTAAAAGCAGGGTAGCCAAGAGATAAACCGAAGTAAAATAAGGTGTAGAAGATGGCAGAAATAAAGATAAGTATTCCTGTTATAGTAATTGAATGTAGTAGATTAAGTTTAGTTTCTTCAGAGGGACACAGAGGAACTCTCCAATTCTGCTGGGGGCCCCATATTAGACGCTTGCTACGCATGCAAATGGCGATAACCAGTCACGTGATATGTGATTTAAAGTTTAAGGATCACTGTCCAGTTGCAAGCAAAACACTAGGGAATCCCACTGTGTTTTCCATACATTTTTTTTGTACATACAGTAACATCCCATCCTTTTGTTTTTTGGTAAACTTTATATCACTCGCCTTTGGCTAGGGACCTCCCCTCCCACAAATCAGGTTCCCGTTGGTTAGGGTGACCGTACCCCCCCCCCCCCCCCCCCCCCCCT